AAATAACTGTGTGCGTTCTAAAGTATTACATGTAAGTGTATCTTCTAATTTTATATTTTGACGAATAATGCTTGGGTTAACAAACAATTACTTAGTGGAGCATAACTTTAACACAAAGAAAAGAACTTTACCACTGCACCACCCTACAAAAATGCATATTTTCAGCCTTTTTTATAATCCACACATACTGTGTATAAACAGATAAACATGTACACACGGTCATATATAGGAACAGGATTGAGGGGTTGGGGATAAGCCCTCCTCCCCATAATGAAGTCGATGAATAAACAATGTAATACTGGTATTATAGAAAACTTAGCTACTGTATACTTGTGCCCCTTCAATAAAAAAGATCTTTCATTTTGGCTTCCCAAGAAATTGTTTGGTTGTGACTCTAAACTTTTGGTCCCCCCCCCCAAATGAAATTGATTGCTTCAGGCCAGTTACATATATATAAATGCAGCCCAAGATAATTAAGTTAAGATCGCCGATTAATACATCATCTAAGAAGATACTGTCTACCATGAATGCTCGTTTATTTCTTTGAAGTGATATTTTAATAAATCTAAAAAAGAATCTCTCTCTCTCTCTCTCTCTCTCTCTCTCAGATCAATACAAGACACTTTATAAAGCACACAACCTATTTACTTCATTGCACGGATTTATTTATTTTTCAAGCTGTAAAAAGTAACCTTTCCCCATATGAACAAGGCGCACACTACGATTACTTTGTATCCGTTTAATTACTGACGCATGAAAACGTGTTTCCTAATCCATCTAGAGTATTATGGTGTATTTTTTTTTCTATTTGTTCGCTTTTTAAAACATTGAAAGTGATTCCAAAAGATTTAACATGAGCAATTTTCAAATACAACGTGGTTAAAACACTATCCGTTCTACTTTACACATATACTTATTTCTTTCGATTTTAAACTTTATATGGGTACAATCACTGGTCCCGAGAAAACTATCGAGATACGGAAAGTTTGGGAGAGTTACGTTCGTCAGTGTTTATTTTATATACTCCTCTTATTAGCATCATAGAATTATATTTGAGTATTTAAAATGCTCTTCGTTTCTCTATAAATACTCCTGTTATTGGCATCGCGATGCCTATTAGTTTGGAGGTATTTTATCCAGTAAAACATGCCATTTTAAGAGTGATCCCCCCCAAAAAAAACACCAAGCCCCCATTTTTTCTGATGGTATCCCCCAAAGAAACCCTTTTCCCGGGAATACTTCCCTTTGTGGAGCTTATAATCTTGATATTTGGAAACGTCGACTCTCTATATACTCCTGTTATAAGCATCGCCATGCGAATTAGTTTAGAGATATTTAAAATGCCCTTCGTATCTCTTTATATAGTCCTGTTTTAACATCGCGATGCTAATTAGTTTGGATGTATTTTATCCAGTAAAACGTTTCATTTTAAGAGTAATCTCTTCCTAAAAAAATCTCCAAGCCCAATTTTTTCCGATGGTGTTCCCCAACGAAACCCTTTCCTGGGAATACTTCCCTTTGTGGAGCTTATAATCTTGATGTTTGGAAACGTCGTCTTTCTTTATAATTATACTCCTGTTACTACATTTAGCTCGCGTTGCGAATTATTTTTGAGGTATTTAAACTCATTTTTTTCTTCAAAATTTTATTTTCAACAATTTCAAAATCATTCAATATTGAAATATTGACACATTTAACGCTTCTGACGTTACGTCAAACACGTCAAAATTATTAGCATTGCCATGCTAATAACAGGATAATGCCACAAAATATTAGGTGCCAACCTTTCAAATCATTTACAGAGACATTTAGCAGAAACTGAAAGTTTACATACAAGGTGTGATCAAAAAGTTTGCGAACTATCTCTATATCTACAAAACCAAAATTCAAATCAGAAAATAATTTGGTACACACATAGCCATACACAAGTTCCATAAATAGCAAATGCTGAATAAAGTTTTGCTCCTGAATTGCGACAACACAATGTGATCAAAGTACTGAAAGTACTGAAAAGCGGTTAGCATGCTTTCATCGAATATGTACAGTGTACAATAACAAAAAATGCATTGAATGATGACATGAAAGTAAGCATGCATATCTTTTTCTAATGTCATCAGCGAAGAAGCAGACACGCTGAATTTTGTAGTACTTAACTAAATGGTAAAACCAATAACATCCCAGACTGATGTCACAAATGTTTGTCTCAAAATATCAACCTGAGATTTTCTGTTTGAAAGACAGGAAGTTCAATTTCAAAAATTTCTCCCTAATTGTCTCCATTATTGGCGTCCAAAAGTGCTCAGAACGAAAAAAAAAATTATGTTGATGTTGCAAATTTAATTGGCTTTCATGGTCTATTGATTCTGAAATTAGGTAACTGTAAAGGCTACTATAGCAAATAACTCTAAAAGAAAATAAAATGATAATTCAAATTCTTTAGATTAATTGGTTTGGAGTACTGTACATAGATCTTTAGCTGGCTAGTCTGAGAAAAACGGATGGACGAGCAGAGAATTAATTAATTTCAGAGAGCTTCAGTTTCGTAGGCTCACTGCGGGTCAGCAGGTGTGACCTGTCATTGGGGATGCTTACTTCTAGGCACCGGAACTTTCAAGGATCCGTTTTTCTTTTGAGACCGATCACTGTTCATTCTGTATTTCAAAAATAATCATTCATTAGATATAATTTTCAATTTGTGCTAATTGGCAAGATTTTTCATGCCTCTTTTTTCTGTGCACATTGGGTTCAAATATGATATTTCTCGCTATACATTTCTTCCTAAAGTTTAAATCTAACGCGTTGATAATGTTATCAGCTAAACTTCATGCTGACTTCGAATTTCGTCACAGGGCCCGATCGCCATCAGCTGATGTCACGGAAATTTAATCTCGACACCAAATGCTCCTATACATAAACTTTTTAATACAACAATTATAAATTAATTTCAATGACAAACAAAATCAGAAAAAAATTAAAAACCGACAGATTATGTTGTTTTGATAGTCTTGATTCTATTTAACATATGTTACATGTGTTAGAAACAAATCATAGGTACTAGGTAGAGGCTTTGTTGAAGTTTCCGTTGTCGATAGGTAGCGCCTTATGGAAGTTTCCGGTGTCGATAAAAATCGGACACATGCCATAAAGCGGCTAGCGAAGCTAACCGCTTAAAAATCAGTCGCACTCGTCCCTTGGAAGTAGCGTATAATAATTTGGTCACAGTTTATTAAGACAAAGGACTTCCTATAAATTCAGTCAATGATTGGATTGGTCGTTTTATTGAAGGACATCAGAACTGATATAAAAGATATATGTTATGTTGCCCAATGAAAGCAAGTTGAAAAAGAGACGTCCAACTTACACTTTGTAAAATAGTCGAATATTTTAAAAATAATATAATTATTAAATACCTAAGATATCGTTAATTTTAGATTTACAACATATTAGATATCATAAAAGGAGGCACCCATTCTCTATCCATCTTGAATAAACGTTTCTACCGAGACAAAAGATTTGGGTTTTGATAGTCACCATGCTTATTTTTGGAAAGTATATTCTTATCCACCCATTCTGTTGCCGAGAGTTGACCATTTCTGAGAAAACGACTGATCTTGTTATGAAGATAAACATAAATGAATAGAAATTTAAAACTCAGAAAAATTCTTTTAGCTTTTGTGACAGAACGCTTCGAAGGGGGTCACGTGACCGCCTAGACCATGTGATTCGCGCATGCTCAGAACGGTGCCAAATGTGCAGTGAAATCGGACAGGACTTTTTTAAAATATACTCAACACTGGAACCAAATATTGTTTCTTTTCTGGAAGTTATTAAATTAGTTTGTCAACTTTTTTATCGCCCTCGTATTGTCTGATATATATTAAGAATATCTTTGGTTCAATATATCAAAATAGAATATGTCCATTTTCAGGATATTACACGTCAAAGATATAGCATTCTGACCCTTTTGATCCATATTTAATATATATACCTTAAATTCAAAATATATATTTGTAGATTGTTAAGATAAACTATCCTGCTTTAGTAATTTAAAAAGAAATTGTAATCATTAAATAGTTGTCAACTAAAGTTTTTTTTGTTCCCATCATCCCCTAAATTGAAAGGACATCTTGATGTCGGCTTAAATCTTCTATGGTTTAAAAGATCATTTTTCCAACAAATATTCATTATTATTATCATTTCTGGGGTACATGTATTAGCAAACAATTGTTTAGGAGCTAACCCTTCAATTTGTATGTGTACGGCGGAAAATTTTAAAAGTGAAAATAAAAAAACAAAATAATAAGAGAATCATTTTCCACTGAAGACTAAAAACCATGAAAAGAAAAGTGAAAAAGATATAACAAAATTATTGTTGGGTCTTCCATTGTACAAGAAAAACCCTAACAGGAAGGTCTTCAGCTTAAGGACAGATGATACAAACAAACCGTTGTCAAAAAATTTGAAAATAATAACTTTGGTCATGTTTAAATGAATAGCATGTATTGAATAAGTTTCACTGCGTAGTATTTATTTTTTATTCAAAGTTGCACAAAAATGGAATTCAAAGTGAAAAATATTTGATAGAATAAGGATGGTATCAGAAGGGTAGAATTTTGAACAGGATATACTTTTTGAATTTCTTTATATTCTAGAAATTTATTATTTGGATCATTTGCATTGAAATTAGGTCAAAAAATATATACCAATTCAATCATCCATTTTTTGTTTGTACAAATGTATCATCTCTCCTTAAAACAGCTAATTATAAAAAAAAGACGGAAAACAATAAGATATCTGCCGATGGAAGTCGGAAGACGGACCGTTTCCTTAAAAATCCTGCCTTATGTCTGTTTATATGAGTAAATTATATTTTTAATTTTCTAGTATTTTCTTTTTTAATTTCTAAGTTTTAATCAGAATATTTTATTAATCTTTTTGATGGCAAATTGTTTCACGTCGTTTTGGTTGTTTACATAAATATTTATTAATATCTATTGTAGTTCTCTAGAGCCTGGGGATCAATTAGCAGTTGAGGGAGAGATGTCGGGTATTGATTACTACCACCATGGTATTTTCATCGGTCACAAAGAAGGTATCATCGATTTTGGTGGACCGGACAAAAAGAGTGCAACGGTGAGGCGAGTTGATCTGCTTCAATTTACTGATTACGGAAGAAGAAGACTTGTAAGAATTACCTATCCTGAGAAAGATCAATGCCTTCCTCCGGAAGATGTCGTTTGGTACGCAGAAGGGTTGTTCGAAAACCCGCATATTTGGGGACCATATGACATCATAAAAAACAACTGCGAACACTTTGCTACAAAATGCAAAACTGGCATTGCAGTATCTAATCAGGTCATTCAAAAAATTAGAGATTGCATTCAAAATCCTTTTCAAATTTTCAAATATGCGGTGTCTTCATCCAAAATGTCTTCTGGGTCTCTTTCTCGGAAATGAAAACCTAATCAGTCTGAAATCCCAGTATGCTAATCATTGCTTGGAATAATTAAGAGATTTCAATAGTAAAACTTTTTCTAAAGAAAAATTCCATAAACAAACTTTCTAAGATATATAATCGAATTACAGTTCTCCCCCTTGAATAATATAGATATATGAATAATAACATCTTAACCTTGATTGTATTCTATTTCTTTCAAAACGACATTTGTACTCTGTACTATGTATACAGATCTCTGTACTAAAATAATTATTTCTCATATTTCATTATTGTACATGCCTCTCGGATATAAATTGAATAAAAATAAATCATTTCTATCTTGTATCTTATATATTTGAAAACAATCGTTTTTTCGGTCACGCATGGTCAGTTGGAATATTGCTTTATCTTACTGTCCGTCGTCGTGCGACACTTCAGCTTCTTTTCTGAGGCAACCAAATTGATTTTAGGATAAACAATGTAAGGTTGAAGAGAAATAGTATAAAGGAATTTCATTTTTCCTCCCCCGGTCGTTATTGGATTTCGAAAATTCTTAAAATTCCTTACATCAGATGCAGCATTTTTGAGAGCACCGATTTTCAGATTAAATCAAAATCAAAATATCGAGAACCTTAGCTTTTGAAAGTCCCTTTGTGCCTGAATAAGTTGCACCAGAAACCATCGAAAGAAAATGAATTCCAAATATTTTAGGACTTTGGCAAAATCGGGTCATTTTGCCTGTAAGATTTGTAAAATAAGTGTACAAAAATTTGCCTTCAAAAAATTAAGCATTTTTTTTTATATAAATCATATCCATCCAAAAATATATACATTTATGACAAAACCATTATACATTTTTCAGGGTTTTGTTCCTCTATGCGTTTTTTTTAAAAAGTATATATATAAAGACAGGATCAACATTCTTCGTAAAAGGCGACGTTTTCGGAAAAGATGGAACAGAGAGCAGTGATAAAATTCAGCGCATACACTAACAGAAAATATAGTAAAGGAAGTCATTCTTAAGTATTAAGTGAATACTAGCATAAGACCATCGGACCGAACGAACAAAACACAGGATGACTTGCGTGGAAAACACAATCATTCAGAGATTGCTGCGCTGAAAAAATGAATTCCCCATTGACCATATTTTCGTAAATAAAGCCGTTTTTACTCGTACAGAGGTTTGATGATTTGATTTGTAGTATTTGAAACAGGATTTACGTACCGTTCGTAAAAGGGACATTACATTATAAACATTATGTTTGGTGTTTAGTATACAAGGTCTTTTGGTTATCCTATTTTTTGTGCACAAAAATATGTATTTTTTTAAAGTAGTTGTTCTTTTATTTGTACGCATATGTGAATTAATGCTAAGCGCACTATCATTTCTTTATTTTGATGTGAATCTAGAAATCATTTAAGGGGGGACCTATGTCCGAAAAGTCTTCGTGTGAAATTTTCAAAACTTTGACATTTCTTTCATGGCCACTTGCTCTTAATTTTTAGGTATTAAAAACAATACCTTTATATGCTTATTTTCACACAGGAGCACGTGCAAAAACAGTGTGAAATGCTAAAAATAGATTATTTTCAGACATTACTGTTCTACCCCAAATATGCGCTAAAAAGAACCAAAAATGTCAAATCACATTTATTATCAACAGGTATATAAATTATATGACTTGTATCTTTAAAATAAAGGTAAATTCATTGTAATTAATCTCGCATGAAAAATTATAATGGAGCACAATGTAAGTATTACACCATTTTTCTTGTCGTATTTTTTACAATTCCGACATGCATAATAGGTAATATCTTAAAAAGTCTTTGTGTGAAAATGTTGTAATTCATATTTTTTGAAAGAAATGAATTATCTCTTTATTTTAACAAAGAAAAAAGTATACCTTTATGATAAAATTAACGAGAAATATGAAGTTTTCTTTTATTTTCGTACTCTTGTGTCATAAATTTGACCTTTCTGCACTAAGACAAAGGTAAGGAAGCTTTGTCAAACATCTGAATATAAAACTATTTTGCGGAAAACAAGTATTTTGTTTTAAGTATTAACAATTTACACTGATTTAATCTTTTCTTTTTCATTCCAATCATTCTGCCCCCCCCCCCCACTCTTCCCCGTCAACAACCAACACCTCTCAGAACTAGGAATGACTTTATACAATTAAATCTAAATGTACTAGTCAATAAACAAATAAAGGTACAAGTACATTTCTTATTTTTTCTTAGTTTTATCGAGAAAATACAATTAATGGTAAACAAAATTAAACATATTTTCCTGATTTAAGCCGCTTTCTTTGCTGAATTTTATTTTATCTTTTTGTACTTATATTAGCATACTATTGAGGTATCTTTTAACAACTGAAATTGCTATAAATAATCAACCAAAGGAAGAGGATTCTAATATTAACAAACTCCATAATTCAAATAAAACTGCTATTAATGATGTATAAATTTTCTTTTTGTAAGTTGTGTACGTTATTAAATGTTAAGCCTATATCACTGCTGCAAAAGTCAACAGGTAAAACCCAACGTCGCTATTGTGACGTCACATAACGCTGCTTTGACGTAGAACGACATAGGTCCCCCCTTAACTGTATTGTCTTGTACTAACTAACGCGTTGCATCATGTGCTAAACCCTGACTCATGTATAGGCATATAATATACAGTATAAAATATCTTTGCAAAATATTCTGCAATTATGACACCTTCCTCATTTTGATTATTAATTCTCAGAGCAAAGCAGATAACAAAAAGTACAACAAGAGTGGATCCCATAGCAACTGAAATACATATAGCAGCGCAGTACAGTTAAGGTGCGCAATGGAAATATCGACTAAATTTTGTATTTAAAAATGTATTCGTAATCGGGATGGCGATTATTTTTAGTACACTATTTATATCGGATAATTGTAATTATGATTAATAACGAGGACAATTATATTTTATATTTAGGCTAGTCACATGATGCGACAGTCACGCGATTTTAGCACAGTTACTTGAAGTATTGATGTTACATATAAATACCACTAGTGCAAGGGCATAACAAAGTTAAATTTCCAAGTTTAGTATATTAAAATTTTCAATACGCATTATAGTTTCTAAAAAGTGCTGCAATCCTGTTTAAATTCTGCATTTTCATTGTTAAAATTATACTTGTATGACAGGATGCTATATTTTTTGCTGGTCAGCGGCATGAAATATTGATATAATTAAATTGTTTTTAAGATTTTATCAGGATCGCAGCAATTTTCAGATACCTTAATAGTTCTATAGTTGAAATGTAAAAGCTTACTTAGATTACTTCCATAGAATGTATGCCCTTGCACTAGATCGATTTATTAAGACCCCCACATTACCCTCCGATGTACAAGTTTGCATACAAATATACGGCAGTGTCAATGTAATACGTCATGAACAGAAAATATATTAATAAAATAGTGAAGAAGACATTAAATTCAAGTAATTGGTCCATAGAACATCTGTAAATAATATTTTATTTAATTAGAGAATACATATTTTGTTGAGAAAAAATTACTTGATCTGTCTCTCAATGCATACCAATAACGTCACGTTGTAAGAAATGACGTCATATTGACAAGTGTATTGCGATCAGTGACTTGTTTATAACTTGTTATGTTGAATTTAACTTACGACAAAACAACACGCTGTAGTAAGTTTTCATGTAGTGTGATGATTTCTTACTGGTTAAATTAGCAGATAAACTCATTTAGTGGTATTTTAAAGAAATGTTGTATGACGTATATTGTGTATGATGTCATAGTCAAGTTTTCCCGTATAAGGTCGGCTCCGCCTCCTTTTTGTAACCTTAACTGTGCTGCGAGGCGCGTATTGATAAAATTCTAAAGTGATATTAAATGTTTTTGACAGTTTTAAAACTTATCCCTTTTTTTCAAAATAGAAATGTTATTTTCATCTTTAAACTTTGAAAGGGTACAGTATTGTTAACATAAAAAATTCTTACCTTTTAAAATTTTAAATGTTAAAAATATGTACATAATACAGATAATAAAATGAACTTACAAAAATCTCTAAATGGGGTAAACGAGAGCTTATTTTACGATCTTCGTGTGGAATGCTTGTTCCTACATCAGAAAACAAGGAAACAGGGACTTAGATAAATGATAAAGATAAAATTCAAGTCATTCGTAATTTTTCTAGTCGATACAATGACCTTGTCAGCAAATACATTTTATCAATTTATTATTGAGTCAAATGCCGACTGAAGTTTTTCATTCTAATTGCAAGGCCATTATTTACACATTGAGTTGCCTACTAAGTTTTATGCGTTATTTTCTAATCATGACAAGGAGCGCATACGGCGGGTGAGACCGGTCAGCTGGGAATGCTCATTCCTTCATGGCACATGAACCCACCTCTGGTATTTTGGAAGTCCGTGTTTACTCTAATTTGTATTGACTAATTAAAGACTTTTGAGGTTGATTACTGTTTGTTATCTCCGTATATTTCATACTACAGTTCTGTATAAGAAAGCAAATTGAATATTGCATCCATTTTTGTTCTATTTCCTGTGCTTATGCAAGGTTAAACACTCAGTGATAAAAAAGGCTAAAAAAAATTACCTTTAAATTTTCCAACGAAGCAGGAAATTCAGTAAATTAGCGCTTAATACCTACAACAAAAATGCGTTTTGTAATAGAGTCCCAAGAGCCTTATATTAATGCCCAAGGGGCAGTGAAAATTAAATAAACATTTTTGTCCCCTTCACCAATGAATGTTATATGCCAAATTGGTTAAGTAAATTCAAAGAAGCAGTTGAAAATGTTTAAATATTAAGAGACTACGACGGACGAACACATATATATAACACTGGGTCACGTGAGTAACCCAGATGTCCTATGAATAAAAAAAAGACATGGTTATTATGACTATTAAGTATCTTCCAAAAAGAAATGCGAGCGCTGAAATCAGTTTAATAGATTAATTAAAGTAACTGCAGCATAAATTCTTTTGCATTTTAATACTTTGTTTGAAACGCACATAATTTATGATGCTGGTATGGGACTGCAAATTCTTTAGTAACA